ATTGGATAATTATTCTGCTCATTTCATCTCCAAGTGTATTTATGAATTCATATGTAGTTGCTACTACAAGTACATTGAAGCGACCCAGAGGAGGGTGTTCATTCAGTTCACTATGCAGCCCATATCCACAAGAATCTGTGCTTGAAAGGAAGTAAAACCATAACCAGTGCGATCGTCAGACACCTCGTAGATACAAGATATCAGGTTGCAACCTCGAGGGCTTTCAGAATAATAGATGTGCAGAAAACGTTCGAATTACTACTCTCCGTGGAAGGGATTGCTATAAAACGCTTTCAACCTGACCTCTACATACAGAAGAAGAGTGTGGTTAATCTCTCACTCTCATGATGACTATGATTTAATCGTGCTTCACTCTCATTTCTGTTGCATAACTCTTTATTTATTTTTGAGATGAATGGGGATTTTTAATTTGGAAGTTAATTATCATGAGTTTTGCTTTGTTACAATGAGTAATTCGCTCACATATGATATGGATTATCATTGATCTCCTAATTTAGAAATATCTTATGTCTTTATAACCATTGTACTTTTGAACATGATGGGTGCAGGTGAAGAGTATTCGTGAGATGGGATGATGTTATTTCACTATTTATGCAAATCTCATCCTTCTTACTTTGTCCTAATTTATGAAGGGAACTCTGCTGTTTGAAATTATATGTTTTGGTTAAAAGGTTAGTTTATGAGAGTAAATGGGTTGACCTAAAAAGCAAAATGATAAATCTTGGGAATTGCCATTAATGATCAGAATGTCCAGTTCAATGTTTAAATGTTTATAACACTGAGAAAGTAAAATGTAGGCCATAGCTGCCAAATCAAGACCAATATTAACAATTACACAAACAATGGAAGAGCACTATTCCTTCAGAGCAATAATGACAACACTGACAGAAAAATGTCATGGATATAGACGACATAAGTTCTCATGGGATAACAAAAGAGGAAATGCAAGGAAGGCTGAGATATGCTGTTAGATGGCAGATGACAGTTAATGAACATATTGTACAGCAGTCAGAGCAATTACAATTACAGCCATTTTAATTCAACCTACCAGAAGATGTTATATATCCTGTCACCTTCTGTGGGAATTTTATTACAGTGAAATCATTTTAGTTAAAGATGATGATGACAACAATCTTAGTCAACATGACTACTTATCTTATCAGATAAAAATAAAAAAAACATGAGGAGAGAAAAGGACATCCAACCAAATCTTAAATGGAGAAAGATGTTCGTGAATGAAATAAATTTTTGCTCCATCTGTTTCTCTCCCTTCGTACTTATCAATGATATGAAACGAAAACTTAGTATAGTACGGTTGAAAATAAACCCATCTTTCTCAAATTTGCCTTGAAAGAAAAGAAAATCATCACAATGAGCATTGCGCTGAAAGGGACTAATCCAGCCTCCAAGATAATCTCTGCTTGTGCACCAGACTAACTACACATCCAGGCTATCCAAAGGGGATAATTTCCCAGTTCTCGTTATCACTGACTGTATCTATTAGTTCATATGTACGTGAAAAAGCGCATACATTGGAAGGACAGAAAGAAGGATTCTTATCCACGTTTCTCAATACATGCTGAAGGATTGGCACCTTAACGGTTCAAATGGAGCAATTGCTTTGCATTTATTTCATACCAAACGTATTGAAATCGTTCCAAGTGACCGATAAACAACTTGAGCCCAAAACTGTCTGTTTCGCTTTGCAATTCAAGGACCCAAATCTGATCTGTGTTTCTGGAAGGAAACTGGTGTAAATCTTGCTTTACCTTGGTAAATTTAATCGCCTTGAGTTAATCTATTGCTTATCGGTGATTAACTTTGAGGGGTGATTCGCGAAGTTCCAATGGGTAGTCGAGACCGACGGGGCACGCCGGATGGAGCTAAGGACAAATCTGCAAAGATGACATTGGAAGGAGGTCACTCCATGTCGTGACAGAAGTTGAAAATGTAGACCACTGGATTCCAACCAAGTGGCTCAATGGAAACGTTTTGGCCATACGAACTGAAGGTCCTGAGTGCACACTACTGAGGAGTTCCATACCAATACGAAGCAGCGGTTTAGTGCTCCCAGGTTCCTAATGTCATTTCAATTGATGTCAGTCCATGATAACTATCAGCTTGAAATCAATTAGTCCCCATAAACCTTTAAATTGAATTAATTGCCTTAATTCGTAACTACAGAATTCCATGACCCTCTAAGTTTTTTCATTTTCTCTTTCAATCTATTACGAAACCTACTCTCATTTTTTGAGTTGTATTCATCTTATTACTCAATACATTGAAAATCAACTGACCTCTTATTACGCTTACTTAACCATGACGTCATTTTTGTCAACCCTAGAATAGCCTTGTGTACAACGTTCTCCTATTTATTCTGCTATTTTGCTTAGAATGTTCATTCTCTCATTGTATAATTAGCTAAACTTCGAGTAGCCTTAACAACTGTATCGAATTTCATCAATTTAGAAAAACCTAAATCTTTGTTACCTTGTATTTTAGTCAAAACATTCTTGTCGATGTACAAAAGTACTTTGTATACCCTATTTGTAATCATAAACATTATATTCCATAGGTTGTAAAGTATCTGAGGAAAATCCATGAAATATATGCAAGCTAATTCTGTTACTAATGTTTCTCTTCCTTTATCCGGAAAGCAAACAATCAGCTTGGTCTTAGATGAGAAAAGTAATCTGAGAGTGAATTAAACTGTTTGTTGATTTAGCTAAAAATACTTGTAGGGTATTTTGACGAAATAAACAGTTATTGGTAGCCACAGAAGTATATAGAACCGGTCTGTGAAAACCATTAACCAATGATGTGTATCACTTAGGAAACAAATGACTGCTTGCCGGGGACTCACCTCACACTAGGCATCAATGATCGAAGGGTATGGATATTATGCTAAAAATTATTAATAGCTTCCATATCCGTTTACTGTTTATTTTCCCCTAGGTCCAGAACGCATGTAACTAAATTTTCACTAACAGTTCTGCCTGACTGAGCTGAACAGATTAGTCGCCAATGGCATATGGGCTCCCATTTGGACGCTTCGATATTGCCCACATTTTCAGTCTGGTACTAATGATAGACATAGGCTGGTAGTAGAACTTAGGACGCGCACCTTACCCTATTGTGGACTACTCAGCTTGATGTACCTGCACCTTGGTGAGTGATGTTGTTCTCGTCAACACTCGAACCAAGAACCGATCGCTTCAAATGCCAGGGCTTCACCTACTGGGCCACCGAGTCATGATGATCATTCCCTGTGCCACAGATACAGTTCCAACGTTACTACTGGCAATTTCCCGTCTTTGGTTAGATCAAATTGATCGAAAATTACATGCAGTAACGTCGGAACTGTATTCATTGTACAAGAAGTGACTATCAAGACTCAGTGCCCTAGTGAGAAGCGCTCTGACATTTGAAGCTATCGGTTGCGGGTTTGAGTCAGTGTGAGACATCACTCACTCGTAGACACGTAAATCCAGTTGACGAGTCCTAAATAGAGCGAAACGCAAGTTTTGGATTCCACTGCTAGTCACTATCCATCAATAATACTGATGTGAATCATATCTGAGTGAATATATCAATAAACTAGCAGCAGACGATTAGAAGAGAGAGGAAGAGATTTCAGATGTATTCATGATAACTGTAAGGAACTAAAACCTATCTGGTTCACATTCACCACTTTTATGAAATGATGAGCGATTCCCTAAACAGTCTTTCTAGCATAACATACTATTTCTCGAGTCAACTTGTACGATAGTTAAGTGTTTATCAGCAGCTGAAAACACTGCTCAGTAGTGCTCTTCATCAAACTGTGTGGTAGGTAAAAAGTGATCAATGAAGTTGGACAATTTCGGAACACTTCAAGTAAAAGATACAAACCGACTGATGAGGTTGTGAAGCTGCATTTTTTTTCAAATGATGGTCAACTATTTATTCCATAATGGAAGTAAGAATGATTTTTGAGTGGGCTAAAATTTATCGGACAAAAACACTTTAGTAATCCTTAATTTCTGTGATCATCGGTCTAAACTGTCTAATGAGATTTCTAAGATAGCTAAAATTCATGGCAGATGTGGGAAAGTTTGCAGATATACCCTAATAAAGGGTACTAATAAGCTTGGAACCTAAACACACAAGTTGAAGTGTCACAGCTTCCGAACGATTGAAGTCGAACTAACCAACACTATTGTTGTTCTTCTCGTGTGTAGGTACACAACATTGAAGTTAGTAATTAAACTGGTAAGGAGATCTGTGTTTACAAACAAATTTACCTAAGACAGAGGAATTAGATGGATGTTAGTGAAATTTCAATGTCATTCTCGAATTCGACCACAGCAGATGATGCAACTATGAATAAGCTTATAGGTGTTTTATTTACTGCGAATTTCATTTTACACATTTCAAGTTACAATGATCCAATTTTGGTACCGCTAACAAGCATTACATAGTTAAATGTATTTCCTCCATACATGATTATATATTCTTATACAGGTAAACAATTTATTAAAAGAGTTTGCGCATGAAGTTGCATAACTAAATAATTCAAAGACTTAGATAGGTGAGTTATATTCGTCACTGCGCACGAAGGCTAAGAAAATTTAGATTACAATTTTAGAAAAACACAATTCTTCTCTTTGTGTTGTAATATGTTTGGTGGCTTGCAGTGGAATCCAGGATACGTGATTCAGTCTATTTAAGACTTCTTACCTGAATGTATCTGCACTTCACTGCGACTCAAACCCAGGACAGATCACTTCAAATACCTCCACTAGGCATCTATAGTATGAGAGAATCCTTCTCAAATATCTTCATGTTTATTCAGTCTGACAGTGTTTGGTTACAGAATGATAGGAGAACTGTAGATTTTATTCACCATAGTTTAAGATAAGTGAGTACATTTACTGTGTTACTCTGGTCTAGCTTGAAACCATATTAAGTCCAGTTCAACTATATGTTATGGAACTTACTCGCTCATGAGCTTGTTGACGAAGAAGATTCTCTTTGATCGATACTAAAATGATGTGTAAAACAATAACAATGAATGGTTAGCGAAAACGTTTATATGTTAACGAGTAGCAATAGTGAAGAGAAAATTCTGTTTACAAAGCGCCTGTTGTAATGAATCAACAAATTAGTAGTGATTTACTTAAATATGATCTATACTAATATCGGAACCATGATAGGAAAAATTAAACAAGATTGAACATCTGGTCTGGTTGCTGCTTAAAAATCACTTTATGTTGACCTTCCTCGGTAATTGGCATGTTTTAACTAGTAGGCATAGAGATGTTCTGTATCCCGCTGTGAGAATGACAACTGTATGGTATTCATCGAGCTTCCATATTGCGGGTGGCAGAAAATGTATTGTTCGATAAGGTGACTTCGATGAAATGCTAATAATGCTAATATGCATGTGCTAATGTGTATGGATTTTCTCATATATAAAACATTAAACTAGTCATAGTGGATTCTTTAGTCTGTGGTCAGTAGGACATTAGGCATGCAGGTAACAGATATCTAGATAAAAATAAAAATTATAAAAATTTGCCTGGTTGTGGATAGCAATGAAATCTAGGATACTCTCTTCGTCCTATTCGGGACTCGTCAGCTGGACGTACCCGCACAACAGTGAGTGGTATTGTTCCCACTGAGACACGAACCTCTTACCCATCGCTTCAAACGCCAAAGCGTTATTCACTAGACCACTGAGGTACAATAGACAAGAGTACCCTATATTCCTCTGCTAGCCACAACCAAGTAAATTATCATAATACATATTTAGGCAATATAGAGGTTCCCGCATAGGAGGTCATACGCCAAAAGAAGTCGGACAGTCTGACCCAGTAAAACAACAAAAAAGTATGAGCATATCAACAAATAGTAATGGCTACTGTTATCATTTCAGTGATGATAAAAATAACAGGAACTGCACGGTACTGCAAACATCTAGACAAGCAATGTGGGTCAAAGCTTAGAAAATAAAATTCACGAAATACTAAAGGATGAAATGTGTAGATAGTCAGTCTCAGCAAATGAGCGTGTGGGGGGGGGGGAAGAAGTGAAGAAATAGGAAAAGGATGAGAAGTGAATTTATCTTTGAAGTCATTTATTAGGTTTTCTTTGGCCGAGGAAGAGAAAAGGGCTGCATAAACTTTTTCTGCACAAAAAGACTCGGGTTAGTTTCTCTAATTCCAATAGTCCCAGCTATGTGTAAAATACCAGTGCGAATTCTATTCGAAAGGTTTTGTAGAATGTGACAGACGATTTTGAATGCTTTAGTCTTGTCCATTATATGACCACTGTCAATCAAATGTGACAGAAGTGGATATCGTTTTGACTTCACTTGTATCCTTACTAGTCAAAACGGTAGGTGCTCAGCAACACGTTTGTTAAAATCTCAGCGAGATAGAAAAATAAATTTCTGAAATTTCACCTTGTAGTCAGGTTCACTTGTTCTCAGTACCTCCACTTCCTTTTGAGCAATCAAATGAAGCTATATAACAGTATCAAGAGACTACTCATCTTAGAAGCCAGTCAAATAATTACTCCTCAAGTATGCGGATTTATTTATATATTTTATCATAGGAGCCCGAAGAGCTTGTTTTCGTACATACAAAGAGATTTCTCTCAAAAACCAGCCTAATTTTCGTGAACGAAGTTTCCTTAATCAGTTTGAAGAAAGTGAAAGGGTAATTTAAGTAGGACATATATCTTGCTTCAAGTTTATCTTGGGTTTCTCCGGTAGTGACATAATGCTGCTGGTTAGATTTGATGGGCAAACATGTACCAGAACATATGATAATATGATACCAAAGTTCATTGTTCAAAGAGGTTATGCGTCAGCAGATGGCGTCTACTAAGCCAGAACTCTAAAGCCGCAGTGATAGTGATAATTTATGCTTTTTATTCGATTGTAACTGTGAATGCCATACTCCACAACAGAAAACGAAAGTTTTAAGAACAATACTGGTTTTGATGAGGTCATTTCCTGTTTTTACCCAGACAAATAATGAATGACCATATTTCACTATTTCTACGTGTATTTACAAGTCAAAAAGCTCCTATGGAGAACGCGTGATGAGGACGGAATACTAGCCAAATTAAAATACATGTTGCTGAGTATACACTTCCATGGTTGAGAAAAGGAAAAATAGGATCCATAAGAAGCTCAAGTTTGTCCTATTGGGTCAATAGTACCCGATCAGTAGATAAGACCAAGGCATTCCATATAATTTATCACAAACCGTCTAATTCTGCGAATGATATTCGAACAAGCGTTTTACGCATACTGGGACCATACTAGGATTTGAGCAAATAATCCAAATAATATGAAGTCTGTACATTTCTTTATCTCCTTTGGCCAGCAGAAACTTTAAAAACCATCTGTATCACTGGAAGTTTTCTATACCTTTCTTATTCTTAAACCCTTTGATATAATTGCTATATTTGTTGATTTTTTATTTCTCCACGTACTTCATCCTTTAGTATTACGCAACGTTTTTTCCAGCTTTTGATCCACTTTGATTATCCAAGTGTCTACATTCCCATGGTGTTATCTAGCTTCTTATTATCATCATCATTACTTCTACTAAAACTACTTTAGTTAACGCCGTCAAAGTTATTATTTTTGTTATTCTCACCATCGCTAATAATCTCTGTTTACGTTAGTTGGTTCGAAGCAATCAGCAGGAAGCTCCGGACCCAGTCCTCTTGCTTTTTGACACTCGTCAGCAAGGCGTATCTGCAACCTCTTTGGAACTGGTGTCCCACCTGAGGAGTTGGTTACCCTCCAGTGAACAATATTAATCTCTGTATATTTTAAAACACTCACCACTGATAGATGAATCTAGATGATTGGTTACATTTATAAATACTTATGTTGAACTGTTTATATCAAACTGTTAAAACTGTAAAACGTTGTCTGGTCCATCTTTATCCAACAAAGGAGATTATATACACTAACATGTGAGTAAAATCTAGTTCACGGATCAAAAGTCACTTAGCAATCACATTCGCGTTCGTGCAGTAGGTAATTAGACAGACCTGTTGTGTGAGAACTAGTAGTACTTCCTAGACGTCCAGACCTCAGTTAGTGGAGCAAAGTTTAAATCCGCCACCCGCTGGTTGAGAATCGAGAGATTAAATCAATGAGCAACTAACTCCCTATAATAGTAATGGCAACTAAAAACAAACCAATTTACTAAAATAAAACTGTGCATTAAATATTTTTACCAACTGTTACAAACATATTTTTTTTATTCACCTGTTAATATTGATCCAAGCAGTAACAGGGCAGTGAGAAATAGATTGCCTGGTAGAACTCCATAATGTGTTCGTAAGGTAGTTGCCACATGTATCAAAATAAGACCGAATATCTGTTATCAGGCATCATTTGTAAGAGGAGAAAAAAGAAACAAGAGTTACAATAAATAAAACTGCATCTTCTACAAATGTGAACGTAGAATATTCTTTTCAACCAATAGCTTCTCTTTAGGTTCTATAGTTACATAAGCGAAATTCGTTAATAATTCGTGAATAAAACAGATAGAAAATTATAATTAAATTGATTTAAGCTTGCTCACGATAGTGTGACTTGCAGGATCAAGTAAGTTTGAGCTTCCTACTCGTTGAAGACACGTTCAAGCCTTACTTCTCTCTTGACCTTCCATCGAACAAATATCATTTCTTTGTCTTTACTTTTCGCTCCCATTTTTATCTTCTTCCTGCCCTTTTCTTCATTTTGCAGCATAAGTTTGACATAAAAGTTTCCTTTGTTTTCCTTCTGATAACCTAATAAACCTTCAGAGTCCTGATAAAATTTCTGTACAGTTTGCTTATCACTATTATTATTATTATTATTATTATTATTATTATTATTATTATTGGTAGTAGTAGTAGTATTCTCTTCATCACGTTATGTACCCTTTCGGTGAATTCATGTCATTCTCCTTGTACTAATCACTCACGAGATACAGTACAACCTTGAACTTTATGTTTAATTTTTCTTCCTTATGCTGTAAACATTTACAATGAATAAGCATTCTGGACTTCCATTTCATATTCAACATATCAACTGCCCCCCTCCGACCACCACGATTTGACATTCATCAATAGCAGACCGCTGGTTTGATTTCTACCTCGACCCAGAACTTCATTCCACCTTCAGTCATCATTGAATGTGAATAATACGATTTTGTCAACCACGGCTATTTCAGATAGTCACACTGATTATACCAACTGGAATCAATCTAATTATCATTTCTCATCCATTTTAAAATCCATCAACTGTAAAAATTAGCTGTCAGTATATGGATAAAAGTTGATTATTGTAACTGTAGAATCTTAGGCGAAGTTACTGAATGAAAAAAATCTTCGTTCACACCTGACGTTTAATATGTATACGAAATGTGGGCTTTTAAAGAGATAGAACTTTTCTTTGGATCATAATGAAAAATATCAGTCTCAATATATAAAGGATTGTGAAAAAGTGGAAGTAGGCGGATTAGACAAAGACCTTGTATCCTTTCGATATCTTTTTTCCCATTCAGCTAAACAAACATTCTTTGATATGAATTACACTATTATTCATCGAGAAAGAACTGACTAGTCAAAAGCAACACGAAATAAAACGTTGAAAGATCAATCAATCAAACGGAAAATTTGTATCAACATCTTTTCTTTAGAAAAAACACATAAACTAAATAAAACCGGAATCTATTTTATATTTATGGTAACTAACTAGGTGAGAACAATTTCTTATTTGGTTCAGAGAAGTTTAGAATTTTTTGTCAGGTAACACTGACAACCGTATACTTGAAACTCATTCATGATTCGGTTTTTTTATATTTCATCATCATCATGATTAGCATGAAAAATCTGTTCTTCCAGAATATGTCAAATAAGTCATAAACTCTTGTTGACAAAGTGCAATTCAGTAATCATACATAGGTTTAAATTGATCAACTACTAGAGAGCAACCAATCTCATACTTGTCTAGTCCTGAGACCTGAAATCAGTTTTCTCTAGGTTGGAGATACGCCTTGCTGGTAAGTATTAACAAGCGTAAAACTTAAACTCAGGGCATCCTGCTGATTATATCCAAATAACTAACTTGCACCGGTTTGTTCAGGATTCAGTGTATGAAAGGTTTATATTAGTACCCAGTTTATCAGGTCAAATTCAGATGATTGCCTACAGGCCTGTTATTTAGTTTCGATAGTTGCGTTTTTAGACTAACGAGCAGTAGGTGCATGAAGTATTATGGGAAGGATTTCTTGGATCAATGAAAAGAGCTAACTGTTCTACGCTGCTTTGCTGTTAAGTTGCACACTGCCATTCATGCACTTACAAGGGTCTTCTATCCTCATCTGACAAAAAACTTCTGAATTTGCTAAGAGTACATAGAGATCTTGTTAGATGTAAATGCAGATGAGAAACAGAGCCTTCAAAACACCTTCAATGACAACCTTAGAATATTTGTGATGCGTTTCTCACCTATTAAATGCAAGAGGACTGTTCTGCGTTGGCTTCACATCTCATAACGCAGAGTGAAGCAGTTGGATACGCCAGTAACATTAACATATTTTGTAGGAAGAATCACCCCTGGTGGATTCATGGGGGAAAAAATCTTAAGAGGGTTACAGAAGAATAGATTGACTTCTATAACTGACGCCACTTGTGACAATAAGGAGATATCCTTTGCCTACTGAAGGTTAAGTGTACATTAGAGCAGTTAGTTCTGTCCTACTATGTGACTGTACAACAGGGGTAATAAAGTAGTGGAAAGTGATTGGACTCTACAGCTTCGATTACCATTACTTTTGTATCATAAATCGTGGTCAATGGAAGTATCATGTAGAGAGCATATAGGCTAAACAGAGTTTTAGGTAAAACAGGCAGGTTGATTGATGAAATTGTAAAACTTCAACGACTGAGGTGGCTTGAATATGTATCACACACGCCTAGCCATGAACTACACCGAAGTGACACGCTGGTTTAAGTGGGATTACGACTGATGAAAAACGTTAGAGGTAGTCATACCGAAAGGTGATATCACTCAAGTTGGCTGAAGTTATGCCGATAGGTGAAAACTTTCAAGCTGAGGTTCATGCCATAGCCAAAACTGATTTTTACAGACACAGGCATCCCCATATTATCTTCATTCATATTTCGTTATTTGTCTGACCCTCTATTTTTCTCTTCTTATGGCTTTCTACAGTTCTCGATCTCGCTGGTGCTCTTTTTTTGTCTTATGTTTACGAGTGAAAAACTGTTTACTGACTATCAATTAAATCAGGTCAGTATCTATCAATCATATAAAGGAAACAACTTCATGCGCGTACGAATAATGAATTGGTGATCATGTGGTTTATGAACTGAATGCTTTACGATATTTATTTAGAAAAATATGGCTGGAATGCACTGAATCATAGGATTCAGTTTCAGAGATATTCATCATCATTATTGTCGATACAATACGTATAATACCGATGACTATGGGGTATGAACCTTGCTGAGCGTTCATGACAAGTCTCATACTAAGATTGAACAGTTGTTCAGTGCTCCTAGGTTTTTAGTGGCTTCCAAGTGATGTCAGTCAATGAGGAATACCAACAAATTCTAACAAACCTTCAAATTGAATTATTCCAAGAATTAGCTTGATTCGGCTCCAAAGAGGTATAACTCATTTGTTATGATGGAGATGTAATTAACTGACTGAAGCACTCAGGGTTCAAGCAATGAATTATGCATCGAAACTGAACCTAACCTACTTCGGTCTGGACAACCGGGTAGTATCATGAGCCAGGACATATTGAGTAGAACTCTTAGCATAATTAATAAACGTATAATACGTTGAGTTGTATTAACATTTATTTCGTGATACCGGGTAATGGTTAGAGATGAAGTGAAAATCTGGGTCGCAACTGGATTCGAACCGACGACTCAATAGTAGTACTATTGAGTCTGCATAACCACGGTCATCTCAGATAGCTAAACTGATAATAAGAAATTCATGATTGCATGTTGTTGTTTTGTTTTTTTGTTAGATAAAGTTTATCATTCAATTTGAAAAGGGTTTAAACGCCTACCTGTGCTGATGTGTTCAATAGACCAGAGGAGAAACCTTCACTTTCTGGATATGTTAATTCTGCGGCTAATTCAAAACCCAAACTTAAGTAACCAGTCATAAAGAAGCTGAAATAAAAAATGGAAATAAAAATAAAGAACAAACACGAAAGGCTGTTTTGCTGAGAGAAATGAATAAAACATTTGCCCTGGTGGTGAGACGTTTGTTCTCTAGTTGTGACCATTGGTGAGCAGAGCTTAAGATATAAGTTTAGAAATCATCCACAGCGTTACTTCATAAAGGAGGGAATCAAGCAAACTTTTCATAAGTATATACCGAGAATTTGTTCTGGAATGAATAAGCTGTAATTGTTTTAACTGTTGTTTTCTTTTTTATAGGTCTATTATTGCAGGATCAACCCTCTTTAACCTTTGATTACTGTATTGATTTTGACTCACTGTCTCTCCTCTTGGTCATTGTCGCTGAGGTTTCGTTTATTTTGGTCACCTATAATCACTTGTATAGAGTAAAGCTAGAGGAAATTGGATTGGGTTAGAAGAGGATTCAGGGTGGTCAGACTAAGACTTAGGACTAGACCTTAAAACCCCTGGTTTTTGGTCTGAGTCATGTGGAGAGATGTAGACTGCCTGGTTGGGGTCCTCGGGATGATAGGAATGAGTAGTTGAGGAATATTGGTGAAATGACTGAAAACTAGTCACAGTGGTGCAGATACATTCACTCATTGATGTCTTCTTGAATATTCGCACTAACCCGTTGGTGTCAAATTGTTTGTTCTTTCACACAACGTTGTCTACTTTTATATTACTCTCTTTTAATCCACCTGTTCTTTGTATACTACTATGAAGTGTGGTAGACTGAACCAATGCATTTGTGCGCGAGATTCTATGCTGATTTTGTCTGTTTATCTGAAATAACCAATTGATAGTTTCCTTATTTTACCAAAAGCTACCTTTCGATCTGACATCACAAAAATTCCTTATTGTTTATTTCAGCAGTTACTATGTAAGTGTTTAAAGTTAGATGGTCGGAAGAAATCAACAGGGAACTGTGTTTTACCGAGGTTTCGCCCATCTTGACACTTGTCAGCACGGTGTATCCGCACCCTTAAGGGTACTGACTATTTTCTGAGAGATTAAAACCCATGTCACAGCACAATAGTCACAGACGTTGTCAATGAGCCACTCAGACTGTGAATAACCCCTTTTAGGACTTCATTGAATGCATTGGTTGATCCTAACCTGTGATTGCATTCTAACGACCGATCGTATTATCAAGAAATCAGGTGTATTCCGTCAGCCCACATTATGAATAATTATGGTATTTAACAAAACACATGGAAAATTTACAGGGCTTAAAAAAGCGCAGGTGGTTTTGTCAAAACGTCAGCGAATGGGAACAAAAGGCAGTGAAGTTAAGATCAGTCATTGTTCATTGGTTGTTATTCTTATCCATTCTCTCAGAGTATGATCAACAATAAAATCAATTTTGCAACCACCTAACAACATTATGTCCTGAGTTCCTCAACACTAAAACACCAATAAAACAGTAAATATTATCATTTAATAAGTTTTTAAACATCCTCATAGATTATTCAGAACAAGAGTAACTTGAGTGAACGACTGTTTTTGCTAACTTCTTCAGGCTCTACAGTTATAAATCCATGAGAATGTGTGAAATACAATAGCCAAAATAAGGCATGATGTTCAATTGTTACTATATTGGAACAGTCACTGTAACAGGTGAATGGAGATCAAATCGGATAGAATAGTAGAATTATCATCAGTCTGGTGTGAGAAATTTGTGGTAGGAAAGTTCATAAAGAAAGTGTCAACCTTGTTGTAGGCCAAGGTAAGCAAAGTGGATGCATATATTTCTTTTGAACACACAGGTCCAGTTTTCTTGATTTGCTCGCTATGGCTTTGGATATGGATAAGATGCAAAGTCATGCACCTTTAGGGAGATTACAAGAGACATCGCATATCACAGAAAAGACGTGATCTACCTTAAGCTGATGTCTGGTACCTACTAGGTGTGAGAGGATTGCACTATTGATGCTCCTCGTCATTCTTTTCCCTAACAAAGATGGCACATGTTCACTAGCTCGCATGGACGGAGCAATTTGAGTACAGCCTATGTAACTAGCTCCTCAGGGGCAGTTGGACTCATTAATGCAAATTAAAATGGGTCTCATAAGTGACCTATCCTTGGTTCGCTGTGTCAGTAATGATTTGCTTGAGGACCTGACAACAGGTTTCGCTGCATTGAATGTAGAACCTGAAGAAGTTTTTGAAAACAATTGTCAGCTCAAATTATTCTTGTTCCGAATAATAATTTTTTTATGTGATACAGTACAATCCAGAAACAATAATACTCTTTCATTGTGTGCTACATCACGTGAACTAGTCTAATTTGGAGTTATGCTAGGCCATAGTGCAAACGTTTTTCGATGATGACAATAATGATGGATACGGGGCGGCAGTGAAATCTAGGATGCAAGTTACATCCTGATTGGGACTAGGGAGCGGGATATACTTGTTCCTGAATAAGTGAGTGCTGGTTGGCACACTGAAACCCGAAAGTAGCAACCATAGATTCAAACGCTGGAGCGTTATCCATTAGGCTACTAGATCACGGTAGCTACTAATTGAATGAGAAAATTTGGTCAGTTGAGAAGCTTGAGGGCGGTTAGTAATCCCCGGGTGCCTACACCATGGAAGCTGTTTCTGCAAGGTACCTGAAAGAGGAAAAGAGAATAGTTTTGAGTAATCTCAAAGCTCTTGGGACTTCTGTTTAAGGCGTGCCACACACCGCTTTTTTATTTATTGTTAGATTGAAGTTTTCTTATGCCAACGTCGGACAGGAAACACTTGTGCTGCTGGCACCCGGGCACCGCAGGTAAGGAAGGAGTGTGGTATTTTGGAGGCAAACCATTTCTCTCCGCCCATTTTCATAAGGCAGTCAGCATCAGCATGATACTTATGGTCATCTGCTGCAAGCGCTCCACTACTATCACACGCTGTCCAGCCAGCAATACGAGTTCTGTTTCGGACTTTCATCATGACGTATGTGCAGTTTGTTTTGCTACTATCCAACAAGCTGCTTTCGGTATGATATGACCTCCACCAGCAAAACTCGCTTGGTCCAGTGTGATATAAAAGCCTCATCATCACATTACGGTACTATCTATCGACAGGGCAATGCAAACAGGTTGAAACATAGTAAAACAACTTACCCTAAGGAGAACATACTAACAAAAACTAAAGGCATTGAACGAAGATACAATATCCAACGAATGCACCCATCGATAATAAACTGAGAATATAGATAGTACAAGTGACCAGTCTGTAGAGGAGAAATAAGACAAGAAATAAAAACAACATCAAGAACGACAGTTATGGAAATGTGAGGAGTGTAGTTGAAAACAAAGTTGATTATTCACAAAAGATTTGCGTAAAATATAAATTGGAGTCATTACTGAAAAAATAAGTAAACTCTAAAGCAATGTATTTTTCAGATGGATGGGGATTTTTAATTTAGAGGTAGTATTCATCATAGACTGACATCAGTTGGGGAACCATCGAAAGCCTGGGACCACTAGACAGCTGTTTCGTCCTAGTATGGGATCTCTCAGCAGTACGCACCCACGATCCGGCCAGGGATTGAACTCAGGATCTTCAGGTTTCACGGCTAACACGTCAACCACTCAGACACTGGGTCGGTTTTAAGTGGTTCGCGATTTCCAACTTCTGTCAATCCACAATAGAGCGCGACTATCACCAAAGGTCTTCAGTTAGCATCCGCCTCACTTCCGACTGGTTGACCCTATAGATCACAGCTTCTCATTAGAGCTACGTGATATCCATCTAAAAACATGTCATTAATGAGCACTATACAGTAATATATTTTTCAGATTTTCCATACTAGAACGAAACAGCTGTCCGGTGCTTCCAGAATTTCGATGGTTGCCCAACTGATGTCAGTCCATGATGAATACTATCTCTAAACTCTAAATCATTTTATGCTCGCTGTTTCCCGTGGTAGATCTTCTGTGTGACAAGAACAACAGCATATGACACGCAGAATTTATATGCACATATTATTTTAGAAATCTTTTCTGCTCTTGTCTTAAAAAGTTAGCAAATGAAAAGTTAGGTAAGAGAAGTCTTTTCTCGACGAAGTGTCTCCAGGAGTTATGCATCTGCAGATTACAGCTACAACAAGAAAAAGGGTCCATCTATGTATGTCTGAGAGATCAACATCACGTCATTAAAAATATGCTTAAGTAGGTAATAATAAGTTATTTTTAGGATTGCGTAACAATCAAGAAAGTGAGCTGACGAAACTTCTCAAGCAGAAAGAATACATCGTCATTTTGTTAAACTATTATGGTCAACAACATTATTTTCGTTACCTTACTATAATAATAAGATTTATTATGGCCTGTTAATGCTTGGTTTGAACCGAATCCTTCTGCTTTCTGTTGCTACATGGGCTCCACATTTTATTTTGATAAAAAGGGATGATCAGTTGATGACAGTGAAATCTAGACTGAATTTCATCCAGTTTGGGATTCGTCAGCTGAATATCCTTCTACATCCTCGGAGCGAATGCTGACCGTTTCACAGATCGTAGCATTTTCCTTTCATTTAGGAATTTGTGGTAGCCACCGCTTGTGCAGCGAGTACGACTTGTAGATTCCCGTTGTTGTTTCGTTTGTACTAAAATGATCGACTTCAGCCAAGTCGAAAGCAGTCAACAAAACGAAATAAAGTGTCATAATATTAAACTGTACCCGTTACACAATGAGTACGCTACATAACCCAAAGAAAGCTGTTAGCAGACTACATAAATCTGGAGTCACAAAATATTCCGTTACCATTTTTCATCTAATCTTCTTGAAAACAAAATGATTATGTTTTGATTGTGCTGGATTTTATGATTTGAATATCAGTACACGTTTTGAGTTAGTGATGGTGCAAAAGAAAATCTCTCAGCAACCACATACACATCTGTGCTATAGACAGTGGGTCAAGCACATCGTGCAACGGGTTTCGAGTCCATGGCCGACTAAATGAAAGTTTAGTCTTGTATGATAATGGGATATTTGTCATCAACTGTTAAACAATTATTAATAAATTGTGATCATTAAAAATAGTATCAATGATCATAGGATTGCTTTCTCTCCATAAAACAAATAAATAGGACAAATGATACTTCATGAACTAAAGGCCTAGTAAAGTCAACCAGCCTGTTGTTTAAACGTCCTCAGTCGAGTAAGGAAAGCGAATGAGATAACTACAGTAGAAGTTGCAAATATTCTCTACGACTTATAAGAAATGCCCGAGAAACACAACTTAATTCAATATAAACTTCTAGAAATGAAGTAAAACGATGTAATAATTGTTAACTAATAGGGAAAAGAAAATATTACTTGAATTTTTTTGTCTTATCCAAAATGACACCAGCCAATACAGATCCGAAGATACCAGCGACAATCATTGTAAAACCAGCCCATCCGAATTGACTAGAATCCTGTTTGATTAAGGTAAAGAGGGAAGCGAAGAAGCTTGGATTATTAAAATTAAAATCGTTAATTATAAGAAAAACTATTGTAGCAGTTGACAGTCATTTCGTAATGTAAACTGTTGAATGACATACAGAAAGTCAAGCGAATCCACAATACCATTGCACGAATGGATATTTTCTCACTTTTGCATTTCTCAGTGTTTAGGCGGTAAGGCGAGTATTTCTTCAATTTAAAAGACAACGCTAAAAACTGTTGCCTTTTGATGACACCACAATATTGATAACCATGTGATATACTTTAGATTTTCAAGATGAAAACAAATATGTTTCAACTCATGGGGCACATATTAACGTACTTCCACAGTGAACCCGTTTATATATGTTAGCAATAAAAATATGGATGTTGAATGGAACTAAGTATCAAAATAAGAAATAAGCTCTAAATCATTCTATGAAGTGTCGTTTTCCTCAAAACACATTCTTTTTATGATACTATGCTTGTAGTGAAAGCTATTTATACTTATGCTAGTAAGTAGTATATGCGGCAACTTCGAAAGTAGTAACCACCGATTGATGAAAAGTCAGGCCGAAATAACATGCAATATTGAACGAAAATATAAAGCGCAAGAAGCAAGAAGAGTGAAATGCATAGAAAGAGATTATTTGTCAATGAATAAATTAATTTCAGTTATAGGAATTCTAACATCCCCAGTAATATTTTCTCAGTTAGTAGTCCTGCTGTATTATTGGGTTTCTGTACACTGATATCAATGCCAAACTTTTGAATGAAGATACCCACAGCATTGGAGTACAGGAACATCTAGCTGTTCTTGAGGGATTTTGAAGGGGCTATATAGTTGCTGATGGCCAAGAAGCAAGAGCAGAAACTGATGGTTTATGGGACTTTTCTAAGAGTCTACGCAAAGACAGTGTACGAGTAGGTGAACGATGACAAGGGAAATGAAGTGTTAGGGATTGTACGTGCTCAGCTGCTGGTGGAGTTTGACAGCCAGGTGAATCGGATGCATGAGTTTAGAAGTGCCGGGTTGGAGGCATATGAAGATCTGCTGACGCTGGGGATGAGACACCAATGTTTTTAACCACTAATTACTCACCATCGACGAAGAGCACAAATGCTTGGGATCATCGTACATAGATGGAGTCCCATTTGCCACTGCTTAACAGATGAAGCTTGTTGACTCAGCTCAGACGAAGTTCAGACAGTTGATAAAGGTTTCTTTACAACTAACGGGGACAACATCAGCAGTGGTTGTTAAAGTGCAGAAGATTTCATTGAAGAAAGAAATCGGAGACCTAGAGCAGTAGATAACAGCTTTGCACACGATTGGCATTAGGAAAGATACACGCTTCCTCCACAGAGGGGCTGAGAAAGGACGTAGAAAATATCCAATGCACATTCTTGTTCATCGTCTAGACTTGAAGTAGTTGAACTAACATAGATGAAGCAGGTGTATATGCTCGGGTGAATGCGTGACCGAAAAGTGATTTGTGTAATCGAAACATAGGTAGCGATTTCGCTTGTAGGGCAGGAGCAATGTCAAAGACCCAGGCCAGGCCCAGAATCACTTAAGAACTTGGACAGACATACAGAGGAAGATGTAGGCATTTGTAGTTGTATCTTTGAAATCAATGGTCATAAATTTCGCCACTCATTTGTTTTGATGACTTGCGAAACCATACTTGGGGCGGATTTTTTCAGCGAGGTGAGCGAAGTTATTGATGGAAAAAAGGAAAGGTAATTGCAAAATACAGATCAACGGCCATAAATGAAAGTATCAAAGTAGAAGTAAGTGTTATAATAAAGGCACTGAAGAAAGAAGCACTTTTCATCACTTAGTTGGCCACAGAATACAAGGAAGATGAAGAATCGTTGGAAAATGTTGACAGATAAAAACTTCTAAAGATCGCAGATACACCACATTTTTAACTCTCCATGTTTCTCTTTACTTGATAGACGTAAAACGATAGGTTCAGAAGACGTTAGAGGATGGTATAACTGAAAAGTCTGGCAGTCCATACAATTCAGCTGTGCTCTCAAAGGAAAATTCGGATGCCAAACATAAGCTTCGTGAGCACTCTATAGAACTAAACAGAATTACTCATTTGAAACCAGGTGAAATATCAACGGCGGCCGAGACACTAGACGGCTGGCAGAAAACCACCCTGATCACATTGCTAGACTTACGCTACAGCTGCTGGCGATTATCGACAAAAGACCATTATAGGGAGAATACAGTTTTCACTATGGGGCAAAAACAACATTGTAAACCGATAACATTTTATCTTGCAGACGACTAATGACATTAGTGAGTAATGATTTAGAGGATTTAGAAGTGTACGGTGATAACCTTGTGGTGTAAAGTTTGTTCCGGAAAGACCATCTAAAAAGTTCAGAAGCAGTTCCAGGACTCATAAAGCAGTTTGAATTTCGTATTAACAAGGTGAAGTTGCAGGCTACCAAAACGAGTAATACGTTGTTGGGCCGTAACGCGGCAGATAAGGGGATAAATCCACTACTTGTAAAGGTTCTTACCATCAAGAACATTGCGATTCCAAGATTGAAGAGGAAACTAAGAGTTTCTAGGAAAAGTAGCCTTTTACAGTTGGTTAGTTAAAGCCTTAGTGAAAGAGCAACTACGCCGTATAAATTGTCAGGATATTCAAATTTTGTGGGGGTCCACAAGCTGAACAAAACTGACCGCATTGGGAGCCCTTGATGACCAGTGAATGAACTCAAGAGTTACGGTATCTGGGAAGCCATTCATCTTTTCCGCAGACGTCAGTGATTATGGAATAGGACCCATCCTATGACAAACCAAGAGTTTGCAAGTATACTACCCGTATATTGATACCTGCTGAACAGGAATGTTCAACAATCGAAAAATAACGCTTGATGAGCGTCCAAGCACTTGAAAAATCGAGACCATATCTCTTCGGACAACTGTTTCATAGTGAGATGGATCACAATCCTGTAAAGTGGTTGCACGCAGCATAAGACCGCGCGGGAAACCGGCGAAAAGGTCCTTACTCCCATAAGAGTTTAGTTTTACGACTGACCGCATGCCGAGGAAGGAGAATGTGGTGGCAGAGGAAGTATTTGGGTTTCTAGAGATTTAATGTGGAGTAAATGCCGTACAACTGAACCCCTTTAAAATGGTGCGTAACCAGAAAGTGAATCATCCCTTTAAAAAGGTTATTTGATGAACGGGACGAATGGATGCCAAAGGAAAATATGAATTTGAAATTTCTTTTCACATAAGAAAATTAAGAGGGAAATCATACGGTTTTCTGACTTTGCGAGGTGACGAATGAAACTATATATCTGAAATTCCGAAATGCTTACTACAAGACTTAATCCATGATAATAACCAGCTAGTACACATAGGAGTTGCGAGGCATTCCGACGTCTGATGGCAAAGTGTATGTTGACTAGTTATGAGATACGACGTGGAGTAGTATGCGCTGACTTGTCCACAGTGTCAATTAATGAAGAATGGACATGACCACTATTTTAGTCGGTGACCTATGGTCGGTAAACTTAGTAGAACGATTTCCTTAGACGTTTAGTGACAAGTGTTATCTGCTAGTGATAAAGACAATATGACACGTCAAGTAGATGCCCTTGTGATTCCAGAGCGGTAAGTAAGGACAGGGATGCAGGCTGTTATTTGACAGGTTGTTGGAAAATATGGAATCTTACGGAATTGAGAACGAAATGAAGACAAGCTATCCACAATGTCGATGGAAAACAAAAAGTAGACTTGATGAACGTTTAAATAAAAAATAAAAAAATGAAAACCCTTTAAGGTAGGAGAGTGCATGAAGCGGAGTATACAACAAAGCGCCACAGGGGAAAAACTGGTATCAAGAAAATTGCTGCCAAATTTGAAAGGCCTGTACATGGTCACCAACAAAAATGGCCTAGTTTAAACGATTAGCGGAGACAGTACGGAAGCAGATGCCAATGTGAAAAGAAGCTACGTTAGAGAGTATGCAGAAGACACCAATAAGATGATTATCAGAGCGACAAAAACAAAAACTTTGGGGGAGGACAAGTGTAGAAACGTGATAAATGATATGCAGATCAGGAAATTGTTTACCAATAAACAGATTATTGTAATTTCACCATTATCAGTTGTATGTTATCAACAGCTGTCTTATCGGACTCATCTACAAGCTTTAACCTTCTCCGTAAAGTGATACACGCCAAAGGTGCTTAAGTAACGGATTCAACTTAAAGGCTATGTAAGAATACAATACTAGTCTTTATGAGCCTGTACTCAACTTTGGATAGCAAACTTTAAAATATGACAGATACAAGACAGGCGGTTTGTAATACATGGGTATTCCGAAACTATTGGCTTAATTTTGCAGCGAACAAGTCTTAATTATTTCCGTATTAACAGATTAGGTCATTTCAGTCCATATTAACGGTATTTACACCACACAACTGAAAAATTCAACTGGAAGAGCACTTTGTGAATATCTCTCACGATGTGCTTTGTCTTACTAGTCTCTATTGGTGTGTTTGATACAGCTGAGAATAAAAACTGCTACACAATTAAAAGAGTAGTTCTTTTGGATATAATTCATTTAGAAATTTCTTTTGCAGAAACAATCATGTGCCAACTGCTGAGCATTTTTAATACAGCATAATTTTGACAATAGTTTGTCAATATTTCTAACATCAATACCAGAAGTCTCAAATATTCACCTATTTCACATGATCTAATTGACTAACAAGGAATATATAGAATCTGAGAGAAAACCTATTGTGAATTGGAACAGCTGAAAAAATGTATGATGTAGAGTGGATTAGTCAGTTGGTCAGTCAATATCAACTTGTAACCTGGCATGATTGCAGATCTTACTGCTACACCGAATATATCGTGGTAGAGGATACCAAGATCTACGATAGAGTAATAAAGAAGAGAGCAATCGAAAATAATAGAAAAAAGTAGAAGGAATGTGAAAATAACGACACT